AGTATGGGGAAGACGGACCGTGCTGGCTCCCAGATATCTGCAACGGTACCGCCGACCATGGTGCTGCCCGTGGACCCAAATGCCCCGGAGAGGAAGCGCGCGGCAATGACGGTCTGGATGTTTGTCGCCTTTGCCTGCACGATGTACATAGCGGTGAAGCCAATGGTGCAAACAATATAGAGTGGTCTGCGGCCAAATTCTTCTGAGAACGCCGAGGTGAGGAGCGGGACTAGCGCGAAGCCGAGACAGAACATGGAAATCCCTAGCGCTGCTTGTTCTTGGCTACACCCAAGCTCGCGCATCATCGACGGGAAGCCCATTGCGTACGCCGACCCAGTTGCGCCTACCGTCACCTGTGAGTTGGTGCAGAGGCGAGAAGAATTGAGCTTACCGGTCAGGGCGGCAAAGTAGCAAGCGACAAAGGTGACCATCCACTTCCGCTGCGGCGTCCAGTTGGCAGGATTGTGTATGTCCCCCGGCTCAAATTCGACGTAGATTACATCCAGCACTTCTCCCTTTTCTGCATGTTTCAGGCTCGACGATTCCGTGCGCTCGCTAGTCGGTTGGGTTGACTGTCCGCTGGGGGTAGGCGGCGCGAATAGCATGACTCGGAGCGGAGAGCGCCAATTGAAATGGCGGCAGCATTCCTTCCCTTCTCTCTCTTTATAACATTAAGAAGAGAAGTGCTCCAAAGCTTTCTAAACTCCGCTACTCCGTTCTTTGATCCGCTGTCGGCCCGCCACATATTTCACTCGGCCGTTCATTCGCCGCCATCAGCACTAACGTGGAACCACGACATCGACACGACGTCTCTTACAGCGTCGAATTCCTTTCGCGGATAACCACAGTTCCCTTAAAAAAAGATTCATGACGAATTGACCCACGCCGCCATTTGGGAGACACGTAGCCGCCAGGGGCAGCCGACATGTGTAGCACATGTCGCCCCAACTGGTGGCCATGTGGCGGTGGACTGGCCGCAATGTTCAGTCGCCAATAGCGACATCGTGCCAGGGCTTTCAATTGCTGCAGAGCTGCCTGGCCTCATCTGGCCGTACACTTGCCTTCATATATTGTGTATTTTTTCGGGTTTCGGTGCGCGCGAATTAAACGCAGATGAATTCTTAAGATGTCTACTTACTGACATGAATCTACCTATCGAACGTCGAGGAGTTGGTAATTTCGAGAAGATCCAGGATGCACTGTGCGGAGGTTTGAAGGGAAATGCCTACATTTGAGGTGCCAAGGAGAGGGAAATTAATTTGAGCCGCGCGCGGACTATTTTACTGCTGCTATTGCGGTCCCCTAACCTGTATTTCAACCACGGATTGGCCGTGAATTCATCAGGATAACCAAGGTTCAATGCCAACGTACTCAGTGGCCCATGCTATTTATTTATAGATCCCTCTACATCTGTAAGTTCAATGTAAATTGTCACGGTGCCCATATAGCTGATGGACAGTGCGGGCAAATGGTAATACTATAATCGAACCGTGGGAAGTTGAATTGATACGCTGATCGCGATGACTTTCCCTGACAATTGAGCGATACTTGATCAGCGTACTCAAAGTAGTGCTTCTTTAGTGTCTCAGCTATCCTCTGAGTTAACAAGGGATCATTTGAGCGCTTAAATAGACGTACAACTAGGACTGGGCCGGTATTTTGTCAACTGTAGATATGTGTCGTCTTGATCGGCGGGATGTAGAACCACTCTGATCTACGCTCATCCTCTGTCAACGGACACAGACCGCCGCTGACAGTCCCAAGCCGCGCTGAAGCCTCTCGTCGTCGGAGCTCATCCGCCAGTCTGAAGTCGCTTACATAGTTGCAAGGGAGCTGAGATTCCGTTGACGAGCGTAAACGCGGTCGAGCACGTTAAAAACGCGCCATCAACGGCAGCTGATGCCCCGTCGTCATGTTTCTACGGTTTCTCGCGGTTAAATGGGACAGCAATGCAGGGCAATTCCAAAAAATCCATTAATCACCGAGAAGGAGGCCGGTCAAGGAAGGCAAGATCGGTGGTGGCCCGTGGGGCTTCGAAGTCGGATGGCCATGGTCAGAGGATGGCATTGGGGTGCGCCCGTGTCGGGGGAGAGGATGAGCAATGGTGGTGGTGGTGGGACAGAAGGAAGAGGTAAAAACGACGATCGGGCACGCGGCAGTTGCCGAGGCCCATCAGCGACACATTTCTAGAAAGGCAACAAAAGCAACACATTTGATAGAAATGTGTTGCCCACCTCTGAATGTGTCACCCTTCATGAGAATGTGTTGCTCCTCCTCTATGTGTGTGTACATAACCTCTTGTATGTCCTCGAGGGGCTCGAATGCTTAATGGTCAGCTAAGGGCTTCAGGCTGCCTCTCGATCTCAGATTCTCAAGCGCTCCCGATAGCTCCCGGTGTAGTTACCATTTGACGCTGAGTCTGCCCCGCATGCATATTAGATTGGTGTTCACTCATGCATCTGCGGTCTCACCCTCATCCGTGATTTTCCCAGCAACGCCGAAGGATCGCGAACCAAAATTGTCGGTCGTCCTTTTCAGCGATTTGCGCGACATTTCCTGAGGGTGTACTTACCTGTATCTCCTTTTCATCGTATTTTATGACCGCTGAAATCTACTTGACTGGGTTCTTTCGCCGTTTTATGCAACTTAATCTTCATCCATCGTTTAAGGAGATGATCATCCCTGTCGAAGGAGATCCCTTCCCGTTGATCAAAATAAATATAACGTGGTGCTGTAGAGTATATATCGCTAGCTGAATATCCAGAACTCCACGCTCAGTACCCTCCCTATGAATTCTTCTGCACCATTTGATCCCTCTCTCACTATTGGTGAGCCGGGAGTCTCGTTTTCCAATCGACGCTGTTAACTTCCTCTTAGGTGCCTTCCAGATCGGTGTCTTAGTTTCTTATGTTCTCTTTGGGATTGTAACGGCCCAAACGTACACATACTTTGCAAAATTCCCGGACGATTCCCCCAGACTCAAGCTTTTGGTGCGTAGAAATAAATGAACCGGCATTTTGTTTGTGGTTGACGTCGTCTGTAGGTTTCAATTGTCTGGTGCGCCGGCTTCATTTCCCTCTTTCTAAACTGTACTCGTAAGTAGGGTGTGCGAGGTTGCACACGCCCTCTGCGTTGGACATGTGCTATGGGTCTTTACAATTTCGGACTATGGTCGCCCAGAGACACTCGCTGGCGCCCCCCCGAAATCACTTGACCTGGCCATCTTATTCGCTGGTATCGTCTCGATGTCCGGTGAGTTCGAATATGCCATCTTTTTCTGCCTTCACCAATCGTTCATATGACCCAAATGTGACCAGTGCAATCCTTCTTCACTCTCCGGATCTACAAGCTTTCCGGCCATTTGTGGATCTCAATCATCATTGGAGTTATCCTCTTGCTGCGCCTAGTGGGTGTCGTCGTGCTCATTGTCGGCGGGCTCCGTATGACCTCCCTGGGAAACTATGAAGCTCAGTGGGGTTGGCTTCTGACTGGAGTGATGAGCATTGGTGCAGGGTCCGATTTGATGATCACAGCGATACTGGTGACCATTCTTCTATGGCACCGCGCCGACGGACACAGAAGGTATGGAGCTTCATTCTTGAGGATTGTTGTATATTCTAACGCATGTCCGTCACAGAACGACGACGCTATTGGACAAAATCATTGCGTGGACAATAGGTCAGTGGTCAGTTATAACAAGTTGATTTGATGGTAAACGTTCATCGTCGCCGGTAGAAACTACAATGCTAACAAGGTCAGATTTGAGCCACCATCAGCCCAGTTCTACCCCTCATGCTGTTTATCACAGCGGTTCTTGGATAGCCATGCTCGCTTGCGTATGTGGCTATCTGCGGGTAAATTTCGAATCCGTTGCTCACATCGTCTTCAGCTCGTAACGATGAAAGATAATTGTGTGTCCATCAATATTTGCACATTGTGCCCTCTCACCTCTCCCACAGTTATTTGGCTCGCCATTTTCGCTGTCACCGCGCGAGGTTTGTTCGTCTTCGCAATATTGAACCCAACACTCATGATGAAGCATCAGTATTCTCAAATTCTCTTTTGGCGAGGTACCGAGTCTAAGGGGTGTTGGAATAATACGCTGAGGGATTCAAGCCTCAATTCCAGGATGACACTCCGCGCTATGAACGAGCTCGAGATCTCCCTGCCATCTGTGAACTGGACAGCTCCGCCGGTGCCGTATCTCCCTCTCTTGCTGGTCCATCGTTGATTCGAGAGCCAGGGTGCCTTACGCGGCAACGGCAACACTATACGTTCATCCAAGCAGGTCGAGGCTGAGTCGCGATGTGACGACGGGGAACAACCATAAACTCATAATGGAAGAAGGGAAGATGAAATGGTTCCCGCGCACCGAACCTTGTTGAACCTCAGGCTTATAGGCATCAGAGTTGTATTTAGTTGTGGTGAGCGTATGATAATATGGTTTAAGTTGAATCTGTTCCCTGTTCAGTTTTTGTTCTGCTGCGAGCTTGAATTGATAGGGGTTGTTGATCTAAGCGGCTCGAATCACTCAAACGGCGGACACCGCTCTGGGTCTCCCTCGACCTGTATTTAAATCAAGGACGGATTGGCGGTTACAAATACGCACCCCGGAGCCAAGGTCTGACTGCGCGATCCCGATCGTTTTAGCGGTTACACTCATAGCACTTCTAGGCTGATGGTACTCAGGTATGGCTTCTTGAGGTTAAAGGGTGTCTCAGTTATCCTCTGAGTTGATAAGGCTATTTGAGTGCTTAAATAGACGTACAACTAGTACTGGGCTGGCATTTTATCAACTGCAAATATGTCGTCTTGATCGGCGGAATGTAGAGTCACTCTGGACATCGTTCTGGATCTCCCTCGACCTGTACTTGTATCAAACGTCGATTGGCGGTGATAAATATGCAAGGGCCACGGTTCAACTCCGCGATCACAGCGGCTTTAGCGTCTACACTTTTACAATTGAATTAGCTTAGTACTCACGGTACTACAATAGTCACGGTTGGATGGCCGAGCGGTCTAAGGCGCTAGAATCAGGTGACCGGGTCTTGTCCCGTGATCTTCACCCACGTGATATCCTCCTATCTAGTACGAAAGTGCGTGGGTTCGAATCCCACTCCAATCATTCCCTTTTGCTCTTTTGCCGCCCAATTTTACCTCAAATCATCATCAACACAACGTCGAAGCGCCCCGCCCATATTGGCCTCCGGTGTCTGTTCACTTGAGTCTGGCCACCTCAACTGCGCCAAAATGAATTATCCTCGGCTCGGAAAAGCGCTCTAGCACGTCTCATTTAAATGCGGAGCCTCGTGCATACATGTAACGTGTGGCACCTAATGCCGTTGCATAACTTGGTTCGTCATTCCGCCCTTTTAATTCTCACTTCTCCTCCCATCGCAACCCCAACGTACTGGAAATCAGGCTGGTGTTAACGGTATTAAGCCCTATTCCATTCAATGATGAGTACTGTGGCGTGCCGGAGGTTTGCCAGGAACCCAGTTTATGAGCATGAAATGCCCGCCTCGAAACACAAGCCCATTTCTGCTGCATTTTCACGGCACCGTCAAACCGACACGACATCGCCCGCAGGGCAATATCATGCAGATCCGCTGTCCCATTTCCCCCAAGAAAAAAGCATGCCCATACCAGGGAGCAGCGAAAGTAAAAGAACAATCCAGAGTCGAAAAGGTTGGTCCCATTTTACCGCTTCGCGCGTTGCAACGAACGCAGGGGCGTGCGTATCTGTAATGTCCCGGGCGACAATCCACGCGAGTGCTGAATATCGTCTTGGTACTCGCCGAGCAGTTTCGCCGTGTCAGAGTTTTGCCCGGGAAGTGGCGTGGCGCGAGACCTGGTATGAGTGCGCAAGAGTGAGAATAGGGTCTTGGGAATTTGACCCAGAAATTCCGTCCGGGCGAAATGATTGCCTGGTGCCAGAGGGATCATGGAGTTGCCCGCGAGCTCCACATGACTAGTTTCGCCGTCATCCGCGGCCGTAGGGTTCCAAGTGCCGATGCGCGAGTCGCGCCCAGCATGCGCACTGGCTATACAGAGGAGTACGTTGCACCAAGGGGGCGCAGATATCTGCGGAGAATACTCTTTGTTAGCATAGCTGGCACAAAGTGCAAGTGCGGACGACGCACATAATATCTCGTCGCCTTCGTGCGCTCAAATGCATTGAGGTTCTACGCGAGACAGGAAATTAACGGCGTGCATGGGAAGATGCAATGGGTGAAACTTGCGAGACTTGAGCGGAGCAAGGGAATGCGGGGAGGATAAGATAAGCTTACCGTGCAGTGCATGGGCCCGTGGTACATTTCCTCCACGTTCTTGGCCGGGGTTGCAGGCTTGCGTCTCGCCGGATTTGTCGATGTTGCGGCCTCGTGCGCGACAATGCCACCGCGTCGTGTCAGAGGTTTGCCAGGAAAGTCTCGGCGAGTTGCGTCCCGCGAATTCGGTTGTATGTTTGAGACCCAGCCATTTGGGCCAAGGGGGTAAAGTTCTGTGAAAAAGTGAACCGGACCCAGTTTTTCAAATTAAGCTGAGGTCGCTGAACCACCCTACCTCGTAAGCATAACCACGTCAGCAGCCAGTCCCCATAAGGCAATTTGTCACATGTTCGGCATCTTCCGCTGCATAGAAGTACATGTTGTGGGAGCTTAGGGAGCATGAAATGAGGGTGATACCACTTACCTCTGTTGTTGACCTCCTTCTCAGATGTGTGGGCCGCAGATCCAGTCACCAGGCACCAAAATTTTTTGAATACAGTGTATTGTTCAAGCATCACACCACAATGTGGTAAGTACCACAGGGGTAGGTAGCAATGGGAAGACATAGAATTAGCAAGGGAACCACTCATGCCTCACGATTTCCGCTCACACTTGCAACGACCATTTTTAACATCACTGAACTTTGATCCCGACACTCGCGGCCATCAATCTCCAATTAGTTCAACATTTTCAGCTCCTTAGGGTAAAAGAAAGGTGTGTAGCACTTGAAACAGATATAGTACTGAAAACTTCCCCGTTAGACCGTTTCTCGGCCAAAAATAAATGACCCCCAGTTTTACTTTTTCAGCCTGGCGGCCGAACCACCCTACCTGGTCCGGGTCCGGCATTCACGGCCCGGCAACCCCTTGATTTGGGCAGTCGCCGCCATGATGTGATTGTTTGCACAAGGACCACGGTTTTGCCGTGCGAGAGGTTTGCGGCGGCAAGGGCGGTAGAGGCCAAAAGAAGCGGGGTCGAAGGATGGGAGTGGTCGGAGAGCAGAGGCAGTGGCGACGAGGTGCATCATGGGCGAGCGGTGGATGGTGTTGGATGGCCGAGCGATCAGCGAGTGGTCCGAGAGCCGAGGCAATGGCAGCGGCCCGAGGGTGTTGCATCATGGCCGAGTGGTGCTGGATGGTGTTGGATGGCCGAGCGGTGCAGCGGTACTCGCCGGTGCATGATGGCCGAGCGGTGCGAGGATGACACGTGCACATGATGGCCGAGTGGTAGGTCAAAACCATGTTCGAAGGCTGCTTGATGGCCGAGCAGTAGGGCAAAAATTGTACTTACAACAAGGTGGAATTTTGTAGGCGCCGCCAGACATTAGTATCCGAGCTGGATGGCCGAGCGGTCCCAGAGGAGAGGCAACGGCGGCGAGGCGTTGTGGTGTTGGATGGCCGAGCGGTGTTGACGTTGAATGGCCGAGCGGTGATGTGTTGGATGGCCGAGCGGTGGGATCGTTCCGAGGATGACACATGATGGGTTAAACTTTCCATGCTCAAATTCAAAGGCTGCTTGATGGCCGAGCGGTAGGCCCAACTTTTTCTTCCTTGAGCTTGATGACCGAGCGGTCAGTCAACAAGAGGATTTTTTCATCGTAAATTATTGTAGTGTTGGATGGCCGAGCGGTGGGTCAAAATCTTCTCTTGCTTGGTATTGTAGTGTTGGATGGCCGAGCGGTAGGTCAAACCTTGACCTCCCTTGCGAAAGAATTGACCGTTGTACTGCTTTATGGCCGAGCGGTAGGCCAGTTCTTTCTTGCTTGGTACTGGAGCTCGATGGCCGAGCGGTAAGCCAAAACTAATGGTTCCAGAGGATTTTCTCATCGTAAATTATTGCGGTGCTTGATGACCGAGCGGTAGGTCAAAACTCTCTCTTGTGATCGGTCCAAACCAATAGTTCCACAGGTTTTTTCAACCGTTGTGGTGCTTCATGGCCGAGCGGTAGGCAAAAGCGTAGGCTCAACTTTGGCCTTTGAGCTTGATGGCCGAGCGGTAGGTCAAACTTGAACACAACGCATGGCCGATTGGTGGGTGATATTCCTCTCATCGTAAACTGCTTGATGGCCGAGCAGCAACTCAAAAACAATGGTTTCAGAGGATTCTCACTGTAAACTGTTGTAGCTTGATGGCCGAGGGGTAGATCAAGAAATGTACAGGCATAGGCTCGACTTTTCCATTCGAGCTTGATGGCCGAGCGGTACGCTTTCAAGACACAAAGACTGAGCTTCATGGCCGCCGCACAGTGAAGCCCATGCATGATGGCCACCGCACGTTGTCGCTTCGCGAGAAACAGTGTCGCTGCGCGAGATACACTTGGAGCTCAAACACTTCCACCCATACTCGCTCCGCGAAAAACACCCCCATACTCGCTGCGCGAAAGATACTTTGAACCCACTTTAAACTCGCTCCGCTCGTTTAAAGTGGGCCGCACAGGATCGGGGCGTGAGTTCGAATCCCACTCCAATCATATTTTGACATTTTTGTGACCCTATTTTTCACTTACCGCCCTACCTCCTGCCTTTTACCCACCTTTATGAGCAAAATTTTGCTCGGCCACGTAGCGTACATACTGAACTGTAAATCTACCACAATACCGGGATCAATTTCGCGACCAATTCCCGCGTAATTCGCAAAATCCCTTGAACGTTTCGCTTCCCAGTTAATTACTGTTGTCTGTATACTTGCAATCAGCCCAGAAAACAGTTTTTATTTGTTGTCATTTTACACCAGCCAGATATTTATTGGGGACAGAAGGGAGGGTTCATAATTTGAGGATGCTCGAGAATAAAAGTCTACAACAGATATTGGTCACCAAGGTCTAACGAGAAGACAAGGCAAATGCAATATGTACTTCAATTTGTTGGTCAGCGCTCGTTGCAGGCGTTGCAAATCGACACGGAATCGGGGTTCACATGCCCGCATCCGCATGTCCAGTCAGCCATAGTACTGCAATGCGAGGATTAATAAATATCTTTTCTCTGCATAGGCCTCACTGCTTGACTCACAATCGGGTCGACTAAGTATCTGATTCACGTGTAGAAGGGCAGGTTGCACGAGTGCTGCAGAATACTTGGCTATTGTAAATCTTCCGTCTAGATGAAGCTAATCTTATAAGTATCCATGTTGGGGGCGATGATACCGGAGCTGACCAAGGTATCCTTCTAAGGTTGGCAAGAAAGAGTCAAATGACCCCACCGTTGACTTTTGACCTATGGTAAACGAGCCAATTAGCAGGAGGAGGAGGAGAAGAAGGAATAAAGCACTGTGAGAATCTATACGTGTCCTATGTGGTGGGGGAATGATACCGGAGCTCAGGATTAAGGTATTTTCCCATGAGGTTGTCTGTCAAATGACCACACCAGGCTGGGCCATCGGCTAAAGTGCCGGCTGATGTATAACTAGATTATATCTCACAGCATGACAGTCTATTCGGTTAGACCCAAGATACTGGAAGGATAAAAGCCAGCGAAGAGAAGTAGAATTCCCACGGTTCAATACCCATTTCAATCCAAGTCAAGTATGAATTTTTGTCCTTATCTCAAGTCTGATGTTTGCTTTCCAATGAGGACTCCAGATGTGTCATTATATGGCAATTGTGTGATCTCAACACATACCTCACTTGGCATTCACCGTTTTAATCTTTCAATCAACTACGGTACCTACATGGTGTTGAATCAACAGCAGGTCACCCGTTCGATGCGGGATTGAGTCATTACTGATCTGCGTGGATGTATTCAGCCTGGGATATAGAGCCGGAAAGATCCATGGCGGATGGTTCCGCACCTGTACTTTACTTATATGAGAAATGCAAACAGGTTGTTCTGTTCGATTCGGGGTTGGGTCATATATCGCTG